AGTGAGGCACTAAACAACTCAGTGAGACCCTGTCCCCAAAAAAGCTTCATGGTTTGGTTGCTGAAAGTAAAAAAAAAAGGAAAAAAAAAAAAAGAAAAGAAAAGAAAGAAAAAAATAGCTGGGCACAGTGGCCCACACCTCTAATCCAGCATCTTGCAAAGTTGAGACAAGAGAATCAAGAGTTCAAAGCCAGCCTCAGCAAAAGTGAGGCACTAAACAACTCAGTGAGACCCTGTCTCTAAATATAGTTCAAAATTAAGCTGGGGATGTGACTCGGTGGTTAAGTGTCCCTGAGTTCAATCTCTGGTACCCCAAAAAATCAAAATTAAAAAACAGGCCTGGTGCAGTGCCTCAGCCTGTAGTCCCAGCTATTTGGGAAACTAAGGTGGGAGGACCAGTTGAGCCTAGTAGTTCAAGGTCAGTCTTGGCATCAGACAGAGTAAGAACCAGCCTCAAGGAAAAAAAAAAAGCAAATAGTCATTATCATGGTTTTTACCTGGAGATCCCTTATACACAAGAGCTGTATGGATAGGGGTTCTTTGGCCTAAAGCAGAGAAGATTCCAGACATTGGAAGGGCAAGGAGGTGGAGTCCTGCAAAGAACCAGGAAAAGAGAGATGAAGGGGTAGATCAGCTCTGGGAGATAAAGACTCCCCAGGTAGAAATGTGTTCCCAGTCACAGGGGGATTCAAGGAGAGGTCATGCAGCACTCAAGGAACCTGCAAAGGTAGCCTTTCCCTGGGGTGCAGCGTAGATGGAGTTGGGATGGGCTGGGACCCCAGTTCTGCCACTTACTAATTGTATGACTTGAGGCTAAGTGTGTCATCTGCAAAATGGGGATCCTGCACAGGGCAGTTGTGACAATTAAGTGGAAAAACACTTACACATCAGGCCATTAGTGGTGCCAGTAGATGACTAAGCTTATAAAAACCCACCAGCAGTGTCCCAGGGTGAAAGCGTCAAGGCCCCACCCCTTCTGCAAACTTGTTGGGCAGCCTGGCTCTTCCTGGCTGATCCTTTCTCCCAGGAGCTGGGCCAATGTTTGTCCCCTCACACACCAGGCTGGGTGCCCCGGACAGGCCACTGTCTCTCTAGGCCTTTGGACTCATCTGTTAGAAAAGGTGGAAGCTGCCAGAAACAGGCTTCAAGGTGGGTCATTTTAGTCCTAACATTCTAGGGTGACTGGGACTCCAGCTAGTCATGCATACAGGCCTCTGCAGCTGGGGACCTTGTGTCTTCACAAAATGAGGGGTTGGGCTAGGTGAAAACTACGTCCAAAGGCCACTATAAGGGCTCCACATGGATCCACCAGGTGTTAATGTCTAGGGGTGGCTGAGTTCGTTGTCTCTGTTCAGCAAATAATTGAAGAACAGGACAGAGATAGCAGGCGAGCAGCAGGGTCAATGCCAAAGCAACAGAGACAGACTTCTCTGGAGAGAAGGGGCCCCAGAGCCGGGAGTCCAGTGGGGGCATCTTGGTTTGTTCTTTTTATGGTCTCTGGATTTCCCGCCTTTCCTCTGGATGTCCACACTATCATTGCTTGGTGGCCCCTGTGTCCATGCATCTATTTTAGTTTTTTAAATTGGAGCCCCACACCTAGGGGTACAATATGCGGGTCTGTCTGATTGGATCCCCTGCTTGTGGTACAAAAGTACTAGTTCCCACTAATAACTCTCGTCAAGCAGGAAGTTGACCTCATTGGAAGACCCTCTCCGTGCTCCTTTGTTCTGGCCCTGCCACCAAACTCTTTGCTGGACATCTTGCCCTGGCTGCATACGCCCTTTCTATATCTCCCTCATAGTCAGTCCCCACAACTTCCTGGTATGGGTGCTACTATGCTGGTTCTACAGCAGGGTCGGGTCCCTTGCTCAAGGTCACATGGTTAATATGAGCCCAGGCAGACCCCATGCTCACAATCATTACATGATACCCCTATCTAGCTCCAACATTCTGAGATACGGAGAGGACCTGAGCACCCTCCTATCCCGGCTGTTTTGTGGGCTGAGGAAGACTCCCTTTTCAGACACAACCTCAACTCCACCTTGGAACATAAGAAGTCACCCCACAGAGGCAATGCTGCCAACTACCCTATGTCATGGGCCCTTAATCAGGCCCCAGGACTTACCTGTGCCTGATCATCATGCTCTTCAAGAAGCCCATTTTACAGACAAGGAAAATGAGGCCGTGAAAGGATAGAGGACTTTCCCAGATCAAACAGCTGGTAGCTGGCTGAGCAAGGACTGGAGTCCAGATCTGCTTAGTTCTCCCTGAGAATGAGCCTCTGCTCCTGACCTCCAGAAGATTTAGCCTCATGGGGGAAGCTAAGACCTGGCCAGCTCTGAAAGGGGCAGCATAAGTGGAGGGCCACAGCCAGAATGGGAAGGCTGAAGAGGCAGCAGAGCCTTGTGGAGATGGTAGCTTATGACAGGGACTTAAAGAGGCTTTCTAATAGCAGTAACTCTAACCTAGGCCTGCAGATGTCTGCAGATGCCTGCAGATGTAACTAACAACAGGATAGAGTTTGGCATCTCTGCCTTTATTTTGTCTGTCTCCTTTATTACCTTGAACTTTGTGACCTGCTCAGCTCTGCAGGTAGGCATATGGATCATTTAAGGAATGATCACCTAAAAACTGGTAATACAAAGTTAATTAACCCTAAATTCACCTAACCTATCTCATACCCTTTCAAGACTGGGCAAGATTTGCAGGGACATTTACAGCATCGTGTTTCAGACTCCTGGAGTGGTGCCTAGACATCTCCAGTTGTTGCCCTACACCTTCCAGGAAAAATGGAACTATGCAGGCACATCACCACAGGAGGAGACTGACCCTAAGTAGGAGCCACCATTTCCTGGGAACAAAATACAGTTTTGATAGATAAACATCCTGAGAAGCAAATGAAGATTGCCCACTCAAGCAATAAAGACTTCTGAAGTCACGTGGTAAACCAGAACTGGATAATGATTAACCAGACCACAGTTTGACCAAGACTTCTTAATTATGCATATTTTCACTCCCTGCCCCAATTCTTCCTCTATTTAAACCTGGCTCCTGTCGGCACTCTGAGACAAGGCTGAGATGCTGGATCATATTTGGCCTTTCCAATATGGCCATACTAACTAAAACTCCTTTCCTGCTTTTCACTATTACCTTTTCTGTTCAGTTTTTGGGGAGAGTGGCTGGACCTGGTTTGTTGAACCCAACCCAAGTCAGGCCTCTGGCCAGGACTCCAGTAACAGCATTAGAGCTGGGGTCCCAGACGTGGCAATATAGAAAAGGTTGCAACTGCCTTTCAGTGGTTTGGGGCTGAGGTGGGGATGAGCTCTGAGATGAGTGTTTAAGGGCTGGTGGTGGTGGTGGGGCTCCCCCAGTACAGGCAGTGTAGGGTTAGGGGAATGGGAGAGTGATATGGCTTACAGTCTTGACACATTGCTCTTGGGTGGTGGGCATCAGTTGCACATTTGAAAAGTCTTTGGCTGAGTAGGTGGCTCCCAAGGGGGGTTGAGCTACACTTGTGGGACATTTAGGTGGCCTGGGTAGAGGGGTGAGACAGGAGAGCAGGGAGAAATCTGGGTGACTGAGAGGCTGATGATATCTTTGATGGAGACTGGAGGGAGGATAGATGGGCCTGGGTTTCAACTGCTGCAAAAAATACACGATGGTCGGCTCAGTTAAGTCAGATAAGCCTGGGCTCTGCTGCCTCAGAGCCCAGGACTCTACACCTGCCTGCCCCAGCCCCAGCTACATGTCAGACTTGTTCTGCCATAAATCTTCTCAACCATATTCCCAACAGTCTGGAGTGGGTGGGAATGATAGTTCCCATTTCACAGATTAAGTAACCAAGGCCCTGTGCCTTCCAGGGTATTCTTGGAGACAGTCACAGAGATTGAGCTCGGGATCCAGACCCCTTCTGCTGCGGTCTAATGAGCACAAGTAAGTGCTCAGTATGGGTGAAGGAGCCGGCTTGCTCACTGACAAGGCCCTTTCTGCGTGTCATGGGAACCTGGATTTCTCCTCCTCCATCCAAAAACTTGAGGATGGATGGAGACGGGGAAGGGAGAGGGGCTGGCGGCCATCCTGCTTTGGCCCTTGCTCGCACACAGTACAGGATGCATTCCCAAAGTCAGCCGGCTTCCTCTGCACGCTCTCCGAGGGTCTTGCACTCTGCCCCGCCGGATCCGGTGCCCAGCAGTCAGTCCCAGGCCCTCGGGGTAGCTGCCGCCCTGGTCTCTGCCCAGGAGGGCTTCTGGGGATACTTCTTTACCGGGAACAGAAATAGGGTGGGAAGGAGGGAGCGCGGGGGTCCCTTGGAGATGAGAAGGGTAGGCGGGTGGACCGGCCCAGAGCCGCCCTCCCAGTGCACAGCGAAAACCCAGCGACCACCTCCGGGTGCGCCAGCCCCACTGCGCGGTGCCAGTTCGCATGCGCACAGTACTGCGTGCCCGCCCACCCCCCTGGAGGCCACGCCCCTGGCCTCCAATGGGTGGAGGCTGCGGGGCGGGGCCGGGCGGAGCAGCAGAACCCCGGGAGTCCGAGCTCCAGCCCCCGCCCGGGGCCGCCTCGGCTGCAGCTGATGCCAGAACCCGAGGCCACAGCGCTGGCCGGTCCAGTCTTGCTCCAGTGCCTGCTTGGTGAACGACCTCCCAGGAGTCCGGCTTGAGCCGCGGCGGCGCGGCAGGTAGGAGGCGCTGCGCGGAGGGAGGCGTGTGCGAGCGCGAGCTTAGGTGTGTGTGTTTCAGGGGTGTGTGTGCGGGTGCAGCGCCGGCCAGCGCGTGCCCGGTGAGCACAATCGGAGCAGGGGGTCGTGTACCCCGCGGACCCTGGGAGTGAGGTGAACGCTAGTCTGGAGGCCCGGGAGGCAGGGGCCTTGAAGATCCGCCGGGCCCCCAGGTCTCATCCCCACCTCCACCCGCAGCCAGAGGCTAGGGGCTTTTTTTTTTTTTTTTAACCTACTCTGGGTGTTCTGGGGGAGGACGTGCTTTCCTAGTGCAGACGCGCTGGGGCGCACTCAACACACGGGTTTGACTGTTTCTTTTCGTTTTCCTTACAAGTCCCCTTTCCCCTTCCCCCTCACATCCCTCCACCCATTCGACCTCCCAACCCCTCTGAGTTCCCCTTTCACCCCCGCCCCACCCTAGCTTGAGAAAGGCCAGGACCCCTGCCATCAGAGCCTGTTACCGTTCTTGGTCCACCTACCCAGGTTGCATGGGGGGGCCTCCTTCCTTGGCTGCTGGGCTGGATGTATGACGTTGGGGACAGGGCGGGGTGGGATGGGATCTGGGAGAGAATGGCTCTTTTTTGATCCTGTCCATGTTCCCACCTGATTGGGGGGTCTGGGGAGAGGAGCCTAGGGGACCAGAGGTGAAATGGGACTGAAGATCCTTAATAGGTGCCAAGTTCTCTGCTGGCTGCATTTCATGTGGTGAATTGCAGTCCCAGGCCCCACACAGATGAGGAGAATTGGGCACAGATGGGTGAAATGAGCCTCCCTATTGGAACCCAGGGCCACTGGTCTCAAGCCAGATTCTCCTGTGCCAGGGGTTGGAGAGACAAAAGCTGAGGGCACCTGAGTGCTGAGGGAGACTTGGTGTGAGACCTCCTGGTGGAACCACTGTGCCCTGGAAGGATCATGGCCTCCCAGGGTCCTTGGGCTGGTTCTTGCTCCTGTTTCCAAGTCCTGGGGTGGGGATGGAGACAGGGGAGTGGGTGGGGTTGGGTTGGGTTTGGTGAGTCCAGCTGCTGCTGCCCCAGGCCAAGCCAGAGCTTCATGCCACACCAAGAGGTAGGTGCTCTGGCAGAGTGTGCCCTGAAGTGCTACTTTTCTGACAGGGGCAGGTGGGTCAATGGATGAACCCCTATCTAGAGGGCCTGGAGTTCTAGGCCTGGTCTGATTCTTGACTGGGAACTGGGATTAGTTCACTTTCAGAGTCACCGGACAGGGTCTAGAAGAAGCCCACCAAGCAGAAGAGAAAGGGTGGGACTTWGAAGGCCTAGGGAAGGGTGAGAGCGAAGGCCTAGAGGTGTGAAGCTGCGTCCAGGGTTGGGACTACATGGGTCAGGTGTGTGTCTCAGCAAGAGCCATCTTAGGCTACTGTGGGGGTAGGAGGAGCCACCATTCAGGCAGCCTTCCCCTGCAGGCTCTCTGTATAGCCCAAAGCCCTGCCCCCAAACTGGGCACCAGGAGGCCACTCTAACACCACTCCCACCTGCAGGGTCTGTCTTCTTTCTCCTTGAGACACTGGCTGTTTGTCTTCCTTCCTGCCTGTGACCTTGAGGCAGAGACACTCCCCTGTCTCAGTTTTCCCATATGTGAAATGGGGCTATGTGCAGCCTATCACGGGGGTTGGGGGTTGATGAGGAGGACGTAAGATGGGGTCCCTAGAAGCACTTTACTAGGTACATGGTGAGGGGTAGCCATTATTTTTATAGATTTTTTTTTAAGAGAGAGAGAGAGAGAGAGAGAGAGAGAGAGAGAGAGAGAGGGAGGGAGGGAGGGAGAGAGAGAGAATTTTTGAATATTTATTTTTCAGTACTTGGCGGACACAACATCTTTGTTGGTATATGGTGCTGAGGATTGAACCCGGGCCACACTCATGCCAGGCGGGCGTGCTACCGCTTGAGCCACATCCCCAGCCCCGGGGGGTAGCCATTATTAATAGTAGTTGACAATCAGCATCATGTTTTCTTTCCCTGAGGAGAGAGTGGGGATAAGACTTTGGGACAGGAGCAAAAGGGAGTGGGGTCACTAAAGTGGGAGTCCCACTTGACTTTAATGGATGAGGGGAATTGCTGGACCCTGCAGGCCCCCCACATGGATGGTCTCTGGCTGACCAAGTCCCTTGGCCTCGCCAAAAGTTCCTATCCCCTGGGAAGAGACCGGGCAGAGCCTGCTGGGAGCTCCCTCAGTAAGTCCTGTGACGGTTCCCTTAGGAAAGCTCAGCAGGAGCCCTGGACTTCCCAGGCTGGGGAAGGAAGGGTCTGCCACCCCCTCCCTGCAGCCACTGGTGGTCTCTCTGTAGCTAGCATTGTCACCTCAGCCCCCTGCCCTGTCTCTGTCCCCACCTATGCCAACACATTGGGTGCCTTTGGAGCCCCTTCCTGCAGCTCCTCCAGCCTGCCCAGACACCTTTCTGCCCGTCACTCCTTGCCCTGCCTGGGTCAAATATTGCTTGCTGGGGTCCCCAGGCTTGGCCTTCAAGGCCCATCTCTGCAGCCTTTTCTCTGGATTGCTGGGGCTACCCTGAGATAGCTGCAATCTTCCCTTTGGCCTCAGGCCTTGCCTTTCCTCATTCATTAAAGGCAAAGTGGGCCAGGTCCCTTTGGGATTCTAATCCAGGTTGTCTTGGACACAGGAGTGTAGCATGTGTGTGTTTGCTGGATAGTAATGGTGGACTTACTGTTTCCCTTTCTCTTTGTTCAAACAACCTTTCTGGGGACCCCAGCTTTCCCAGGCCTGGATGTGTGGGGTGCCACTGGCTGAGGCTAGGATGGCTTGGAGGTATGTCTTGTGGTTTTTCTGCCACAGTAGGACATGTGGTCAGGTGAGGCAGAAGGGATCTGTGGCCCATCCATTGGAACCCAGCTGCCCATCACTGCAGGTCAGGCCCAGGAGAGTGGCCCAAAGCTGAGAGCCTGCTGGCCTGATCCACCTGCCCCTATCTAGCCAGCGTCTGCCATGGTGCCAGGTGACTTCTGCCAGTGAGGGACTCAGGTGATTTGCTACTAATAACAGTAACTAAGACACTGACATGCTGGTGACTTTGTTTTATGTTGGAGTAGTTCAAGGTGTAATGATTTTCTCCCTCACTCGCTGACTTGCCTGAACAGGGTGAGAGGGTGGGCTCCATTACCCACCTGTCCACTGCTCTTTATTTTATTTATTTATTTTTATGTGGTTTTGAGGATGAACCCAGTGCCTCACACATGCTAGGCAAGTGCTCTACCACTCAGCCCCAGCCCCAGCCCCTGTCCACTGTGCTTTAAGAACCRTGTTTCTTGCCTATTGCTGCTGTAACAAAGCACTAGCGAGCTAGTGATTTAAAACAATACAGATGTATTCTCTTGAAGTTTTGGAAGTCTTGCTGGGCACAGTGGCACRCATGAGACTGTCTTGCTAGGCATGGGGCACATGCCTATAATCCTGGCAACTTGGGGGSCTGAGGCAGGAGAATTGCAACTTTGAGGCCAGCCTGGGCAACTTAGTGAAACCCTATCTCAAAAAACAAACAAAAAAGAAGTCTTTGTTTTGAGTCTTGTGGGGTTAAAAGTCAGGCTGGTTCCTTAGGAGGCTCAAGGGAAGATCCATTCCTTGTCTCTTCTGGCTTCTGGTGGCTGCTGGTATCCTTTGACCACATCACCCAGGGTGTATTCCATCCGGTCATTGCCTTTTCCTCTTCTGTAGTCACCTCCTCCCTGCCCCCTTTCTTTGCGAGGTGCTGGGAATTGCCCCGAGGGAGGGTGTTGTGCATGCTCACCATGCACCCTGCCACCGCAGAGCTGCACCCCTATCCCTGCCTCCCTCATAAGGAYGCTGTGGTTACATTTAAGACCCAGCCAGATAAGCCAGGATAATCTCCCCATCTCAGGATCCTAAATCACATCTGCAAGTCCCCGAACCATATATGGCAACGCCCACAGGTTCTAGGGACTTGAATGTAGACATCTTTGGGGCCATTGTTTAGCCTACCACGGTTGTGGTGTCATTGCTGGCACCATGCCCAGCCCTCCTCCCGACCCCTGATGCCCACAGCTGCTGGCCTCTCCAGTCACAGTTCTCATTACCCCATGAGGTCACTCTCAGTGTCTCAGCCTGGGAGGCTGCAGGCAGGGTCTGCGGCTGCTGCACCTGTAGATTGGAAAGACCTTCACTTTCTGAAGACGTTGGCTGCTTTGCCCTTCCCTGGGTTCACTCTCCCCACCTGAGGATTGGCATATGGGTGGGACATCTCCGGCCTCGCCTGCTATCCTGAGTCTCTGATTGACCCCCTGCCTGGGCACGGAGAAGAGATATTGGCATTCAAAGCTGCTATGGGCAGGAAAGGACACACTTCCCGCAGTGAGCAGGGCCTAGGATTGCTGTTAACATGCTAATGGCCCCAGGCATGGTCAGCCATGCGTGTGTCTCCAAGGAGGGACTCAGCCAACCCCAAAGAGCCCCTGGCCCACATGCCATGGACCCTGCCCCAGCATGGGTCTCCATTTCACCCCCTCAGCCAAGGCCAGGTCATACCCGCCTTGCTTCTCTCAGGGGCAGCATTTTGTTCATTTATATATTTATTTTTAAATTTAAAATTTTGGGGGGTTGGGGGTAATTGAACTCAGGGGCACTCAACCACTGAGCCACATCCCCAGCCCTATTGTGTATTTTATTTAGAGACAGGGTCTCACTGGTTGCTTAGTGCCTCACTTAGTTGCTGAGGCTGGCTTTGAACTCATGATCCTCCTGCCTCAGCTTCCCGAGCTGCTGGAATTGCAGTCGTGCATCACCGTGCCTGGCCTCTCCTTTTATTTTTATATTTTTTCTTTTTTGGTGCTGGAGGTTGAACCCAGGGCCTGGTACATGCTAGGCAAGTGCTTTTCCACTGAGCTATAGCCCTAGCCCTTTCTGTTTTATTTTGAGACAGAGTCTAAGTTGCCTAGCCCTTGAACTTGAGATTTTCCTGCCTCCACAGGAAGATT